GGCCCAATCAACAACTATTTAATTTCTCCTACCTCTCTCCTCATTAGGACTTTTGATAAACAGCCCTTCCAGCCAGCCTGGGCCTGGCATCTTTCCAAGAACCATGAGCCCTACCTGCCCATATCCCTTGTGTGGGAGATCAATATGAACTAGTCCCTCTTTTCTAAAGTCCAGTTTTGGACTTTGTTGCCGAGTGCACTCCCAGCTTTCCTCTCTAACGACTCCCTCTCTACTTCCTTTCCTGGATAATTTCTTTTTATCTTTCTAATACAAGCATCACTAAGCTTGACAGAGTTCTCTTTCTGCCTGGAAGATCTTATCTATTGCCACTTTGATCAACTGATTCCTTGGCCCTAGACGGTCATCTCCAAGGGCCTGCCTCTCATTCCATCTGGATATCCCAATAACGAATTAAGCTTACTTCCGATTTTCTCATTTCTCAGTGGTTGAGTGTTGACCCTAGCAAGTCTGCCTCTGTCATGGTCAGGACACACTCATAATGGGCCTTGACAGCCTTGCCTTGCTCAGGGTCTATATTTTGATCAGATCTCTCTTACCTTCTTACCTCTTTGTCATCTCCTGTAGCAGAATCATTTTCAGTTCATTTCCTCATAATCAAGATTTAAAGGAGAGTAGGTACAGAGGGAGACATACAACTAAAAAGTCTGGCTTATAAAATATTTTGTTTCCCATTGGAGTCCCATGCTGAGAAATATCCCTCTCCTGTGTGAGTCTAACCCTCCAGGTTCTGGTTTCTTCTCTGAGAACCTAAATCTTCCCCTCATGGCTGATACCGAGAAAATCCACTCCTTTCTGAACGGATTCCAGCTCGAATCTAGAGTTGTCGTCATTATTTTATAGCCTCAATAAGGCTAATAATCTGAGGTACCACACAATAAAATTCCTACAGGTGCCCACAAAGGGTGAAGTGAAGGATAGTTAGAACCAATATAGTAGTGGAAGTTCTATAGCTAAAAGTAGAGCCAGAATGTAGGAAAAGTGTCTGTTCCACCTGCTGCTTGTGGATTGCACTGACGGCCCCAATTCTTTGCCCCTCCTTGACCCAAGTCTTTTGCATGTGACTTTGCAGTTCCGCCCTTTAAAGAGGCTGAGTATATTTCACCAGCTCTCGATGTGGGTTCAGCCATGGGACTTGCTTTGACTAAAGCAATGTTTGTTGTGTGACTGGGCTTGTTATTTTGTACCTCTGGCACTGTTGTGAGAAGAACATCTTGCTGGCCCCAGGAAGAAGATGAAAAACAGGAAGCAGAGCCAAACTTCCTCAGACAGGCCTAGCCTAGATCAGTCCATCCCTAGCCAACTCCCAAACGTGTCAGCAGGTGCATACAGAATCTGCAAAGCCACCCAGATAAGTTCACCCTAAATCAGGAGATCTTCTACTGAACTGCAGATAAAGTATTGTAATTTTAAGTCATTAAGCTTTGGGATGGTTCATTATAGCCATAGGTAACTAGTTAATTTATAATCCCAATGTTCAACTAAATGTCCCATTGCTTTTCTCTGAAGGGTAAGCAAGGAATTCTGGAAATCATAAGGCTGATAACTATAATTGCAAATGCAGGCTCTTCTTTTGCTACATTAAATAACTGCTTCTCTCCCACATTAGTAAAATGTCCAATGAGACTTTTTACCGTACCACCAATTCTTTCCGAAGGTCAGTGACTGCAGCTTGGTTTAATTGACGCAGAGCATCATCAACTAGGTGACTTCGTCTGACTTGAAGTAAAAATGTGGGTGAAAACATATGTGTAATTTGTGACCCCTGGAAAAAGAAATATTTTAGGAATCTTCACTGGAATATTAGGAAATATTTAACATTTCAGATAAACCCATTTTGTCTAACATACAATTATGCCTACTATTGCCATATATGGTCATATTGTAATTATTTAAGAAAAGAGCATCATATGTACACTATGGAAGATAAAAAGGTGGTAGAATTTGTGAAACTGTGGTATCTAGGAATTTTGTACAGGGGATGAATCATCGTGGATGTACAGCTAAGTAATTAAAAGCTATCTCTGATCACTTATTTTAGTAAACATGATCCTTAAAAGCAACAGTGGTGTTCACCATGCAGAGACATTCTCCCACCAGTTTTTAAGAAGAAGAGTGTTAGCACGATAATCCTCAAGAATATAAGGGCAGCTTAGAAGCCGAGGGATAATGTGAGATGTAGGAAACAGACTAGAGGAAAGACTTGCTCAAAGAAAAGTGTTCTCTGTTACCCTACATAGTACTTCCATTATGCTTTTCTAAATTCTCAACATGCCCTCACCATTTCAGCTCCCTGCTCTTGCTTCTGCTGAACTCCCTGGGATTAGAAATCTAGTGTTGGAATTACTATCCTTGCTTTGACCTTTAACCTTCCTGTAGGACTTCTGCTATATCACAAGGACAATAAAGGAGTATTTAGGATTCATAAACCAATGCCACTATTGAGACAGCAAGACAGGTGGATAATAACTATCCTAGTCCAGGTTTCCAGACTGCGTGTGGTTGCCCATATTAGCACTCTATAAGCTACTCAGAGAAGTGCATGCATATGACTCTGGGCTTGGGAAAGCCCTGTCCCAGATCTCTGCTACCACTGTATACTGAGAAATTACATGTGATTCCACTAGATTCTTCTGGTTTTTCCCTAAGATCTTTGTTGTAAAGAAGCTCCACAGCCCTAGCTGGCTTGGCTCAGTGGCTAGAGCGTCAGCCTGCGGACTGAAAAGTCCCGGGTTCAATTCCCGTCAAGGGCACATGCCCGGGTTGTGGGCTCGATCCCCAGTAGGGGGTGTGCAGGAAGCAGCCATCATCGATGTTTCTATCTCTCTCCCTCTCCCTTCTTCTCTGAAATCAAATAAAAATAATTAAAAAATATGTATTTAAAAAGAAACAAACAAAACAAGAAGCTCCACATTTGTAGGGAGATGGAACAAGTGCCATTTCTAGTCCTTTCTGGTGGTGGGTCATCTCCTCCTGTGGCCTTGGAATCTGCAGACACTTCAGGAATACTGACTGCTAAGCTACATGTCCCGTGGCTCTGAGTGACAGGGAGTGGCCAGCAATATCCTGCACTGACTGTAGCAGGGAAAGGTGTATGCGTCCTGCTGTTGGCCCAGGCTTCTCTAGCCTTCCCATGAATTGGACTTGAAACCTGTGTATCTTATTTTCCAGTCTCTCTATTCCTGCTCTCCATGTATTGGTTTCCCATTTCTACATTTGTGCATTTGGATTGATAATCTAGTTTGGAGCTTACAATTTTGACTAAGTCCATCATCTCTCCTCTGGAGGACAGGATTGTGGAACCTGCTTTGTGACTTCACCCATGCCAACTACAACTAAGAATTTTCTTGTCTTCAAACATTTCCCAATCCTTCATAGTATGTAACTTGCCTGGGTCCACTATGCACTCAAACCTCACTAACAGAGCAGACAGGTTAGACGGAAAATTTCTATAGAAGAAAATAATGTAGAGAGAAAGATTTGCTTAAAGGGAACTTAAGGGAAAGTTAGGTTTGGGAAGGAAATATTTAATCTATTTTCTCCCATTACCAGGAATGTCAGGAAAATTGAAAAAAAAAAAAAGAGGTGGCTGGGAAACAGAAGAGATGAGCAAGTCAATCTGATGATAGACACTAATAACAGTAACTAAAGGGAGAGTCCTTAACTATGGAATGCTTTTAGCAGGAAGTACTTTGTCCCTCTAGGTTGTGTATTATAAATAAACTAGAGGCCCGGTGTATGAAAATTTGTGCACTTGGGGGGGGGTGTCCCTCAGTCCAGCCTGCTCCCTTAGTCTGGGAGCCCTCAGGGGATGCCTAAGCTGCAGTCTGGCCTCCCTCTGTGGGAGGCGACCAGCACGGCGATCGGGGACAGCGCCGGCCATCAAGCAGCCGGCCCTGCCCCCCGATCGCCCCTCCACCGCCGCTGGTCACTGCCACTCCCTATCGCCGTCTCCTTCCTCTGCCTGCTGGCACCTGTCTTGGCTGACCTGGTGCTGCCCTCTCACCGGCCCCGCCCTGCCCCCTGCCAACCCGTCCTTCTGCCATTTGGGGGATTTGCATATTAGGCTTTTATTATATAGGATGTGGTGTTTATGGATTTATCAGGCATGGTTCATTGGAAAATGTCATATAAGCTCTATAATTAATAGGGAATGAAAAGGAAATATTTTATTACTGAAATGACTCCTTTTGTGCATGTGATGTCCCAGACTTTTCACTTACATGGCCCATCTCCTTTGAATTATTAGCAAAAGTAATGGGTATGTTTCTGATTCCTTTAAGTTGTTAAATTCTGTCTTATAGTCTTTGTTTTTCTCTTTTTTCTTTTGTTAATCCTCACTTGAGGATATTTTTCCTTTGATTTTTAGGAGAGTAGAAGAGAGAGGGAAAGACAGAGAGAAACATCGATGTGAGAGAAACACATCAATTGGTTTCCTCCTGGGCTGGGGAGGAGCCTGCAACCAAGATACATGCCTTTGACTAGAATTGATCCTGGGACCCTTTGGTCCGCAGGCCAACTCTCTATCCACTGAGCCAAACCTGCTAGAGCTCTTATAGTCTTTCTATAAACATCATAGAAAATAGATACGAACTTTTCCTGAGGAATGGCCTAGAAAACAAACTTCAGTGATCAAAAAATGTTTGGAAAATCTTTAGCATAATGTCTGGGCATGTGATGAGTATAACTGAAAACTAAGGCTGATGGTGACAAGAGAGACAAAATACCATGTAAGTGTTTTGTGGGAATAATACAACTCCCAGAAAAAGAATGGAAGGAAGAGAATAAATGGAAGACAGAATAAATTCACTGGGAATAAAAGAATATCAGTTGGGGCTTATAAATCAAGCTCCAAGACTTTTAAAGAAATTGTTATTTATTGATTTTAGAGAGATAGAATGGGGCGAGGAGAGAGAGAGAAAGAGAGAGAGAAACATTGATTTGTTGTTCCACTTATTTATTCATTCACTGACAGCTCCTTGTATATGCCACGACCGGGGATCGAACCCACAATCTTGGACTATCGAGATGATGCTCTAATCAACTGAGCTACCCGGCCAGGGCTCAAGCTCCAAGACTCATAAACAGATATGATAATCCAAAGAGTAACAACTAAGAACTTAGTATAGTCACTAAAACTGGATAGAGAGAAAAAGAGCATTTATTTGATCATTTCAGTATTGCTCATAGTAGGAAAACAATGGTTATTAGCTGAAGAAAGTGAGGCTGCAGCCATTATATAGTAACTAGAGGACGGGTGCATGAATTTGTGCATGGGTGGGGTCCCTAGGCTTGGCTGGTGATCAGGGCCGATCAGGGCCATCTTGCCCAGTCCTGATCAGGGCCAGGCTGATCAGGGCCAGGGCAATTGGGGCCTGCCGGCTGGGGGAAGCAACAGGTGGAGGGACCACAGGTTGGCTGGCCAGCCCCTATCGGGGTCAATTGGGGCAGCCGGCTGGGGGGAGGGACCTTGGAAGGTTGGCCAGTCGCAGAGAGGGACCAGTGGCTGGCCGTGGGAGGTTGGCTGTGGGAGTGCACTGACCACCAGGGGGCAGCTCCTGTGTTGAGTGTCTGCCCCCTGATGGTCAGTGCACGTCATAGTGACTGGTGGACCGGTTGTTGCAGTCATTCGGTCGTAACGGTCACTTGGGCTTTTATATATATAGATGAGAAACATAAATTAAAATTAAATTGAGCTGACTGGTGTTGCTCAGTGGTTGAGCATTGACCCATGAACCAAGAGGTTTATTCCTAGTCAGGGCACATGTCTGGGTTGCAAGCTTGATCCCCAGTGGGGGGCATGCAGGGAGCAGCCAATCATTGATTCTCTCTTATCATTGATGTTTCTCTCTCTCTCTCCCTTTCCCTTCCTCTCTCTGAAACAATCAAAACCATAATTTTTAATAAAATTAAATTGGAATATCATGGCTAACCCATCGAATTGGAACACTGCTTAGTAACACTGCATTGGTTATAATGTAAAGGGGCATTTCATGCATTGCTGGTGGTAACATAAATTGGTACAACTACTATGCATGGAAAAGGATTACGCATTAATCTGCCTTCTTATATGGATGATTTTTCAGGGGAGCCAAAGAGCCCTCATTGATGAGGAAAAGTTCTTTACATAAAAAGTAAAAAAGTTAAAAAAGTAAAATTTCTTTGCAGTTCATAACTTTGGAAGAAATGATAATATTAGAAATGTTGCTGTTTTTCAAACTTCAACCAAAACAATGGATAAAATCTATACTAATAAAAGGGTAATATGCTAATTAGACCGAACGTGTTCCAGACGTCCTTCTGGACAAAGCCGTGGCTGCGAGGGCCAAGGCAAGCCGCCACAGCTGGGAGGGCCCATCACAGAGCCCTGGCCAGGTGGGCAAGGCCTCCCTCTGCGTAGCATTGATCACAGAGCCCTGGCAGGGTGGGCAGGGCAGGCAGGACCTCCCTGTGGGCAGTGATGTATGGCAGAGGCCAGGCTGGGTGGGCAGGGCCTTCCTGTGGGCGGGGATCAATGGCAGAGCCTGGCCTGGTGGGAAGGGCCTCCCTCTGCACAGCATTGATCACAGAGCCCTGGTAGGGTGGGCAGGGCCTCCCTGTGGGCGGCAATGAATGGAAGAGCCCAGGCTGGGTGGGAAGGGCATCCCTCTGCTCTGCAATTGATCCCAGAGCCCCAGCAGGGATCAGGCCTAAACTGGCAGTCAGACATGCCTCGAGGGGTCCCAGATTGGAGAGGGTGCAGGCCAGGCTAAAGGACCCCCCACCCCCGTGCACGAATTTCATGCACCGGGGCTCCAGTAATTAAATAAAAGATTAATGGGAAATATTACAATGGAAATACCATGTGGTCACCAACTGAACCCACTGATGAATCTCAGCATGAATAAGAGTGAAACAACCAAAAATATTGCCCTGAAGTATGGAGAGGTGAAAAGAAAGTGGGCCTAGGATTTGCTTTAAAATAATTCAGCAAAAATACTAACAACTACAAAAACAACAATAATAATAAATTGTAGCAAAATGTTGATGACTGCTAAAACTTTGTGATGGGATTCATTACACCATTATTTCTATTTTGTATATGTTTGAAATTTTTCATAATAAAAATGTAAGGCATACATACCAGTATTTTCGTAACGGAATCAGCTTGCCATAATTTTATTTTGGATAGCAAATTAAAGATAAATGGAAATTCACTGAAAATAATGGGACTGAAGTTCCCTGCAGTTATCTAAGAAACAAACAGACAGTTCTGATAATTAAAAGCAGAGAAAAATGTCATTCCTTTACTTCATCACCTTAAATTATTTCCCTCTATATTTTTCTAGAACCTGTTTTTAAGAATCCAAATTACTTAGAAAGAAATTTCTAAGAAAATGCATTTTTTTGTGAGTAAAAGATGTTTAAGTTTTCACTGATTATCTAGTTTAGTATATTCCATACCTACATACCTACATAGCTACTAATGTGTCCCCCCTTAAAGTATGAAAATATTCAGAGCCCTCTTGGTATTTCCACTCAGAAGTGAAAATGTTACTCTTACCAGGTAGTTATCTCTCTGGAACATTATTTTTCTTTCTTCAATAAAGTTCAACTTAGTGGAGAGTTCATTTATGATGAAAGTATTCTCTGGTAGTTGACAAGTAGCTTTGTTTACCTTAAAGAGAATATGACCTGTGAATATCATTTTCTACTAACGAATGATGTAATCTTCTAATAAAAGAGTAATATGCAAATTGGCCATCACTCCAACACACAAGATGGCTGGCAGAGGAGGGCAGTGGGAGCAACCAGGCCGGCAGGGGACGACAGTTGTGGGGGACCAGCCCTGCAGGGGAGGGCAGTTGGGGGGAACCAGGCCTGCAGGGGAGGACAGGGGTGCCCAGGCTGGCAGGGGAGGGCAGTTAGGGGCAATCAGGCAGGCAAGCAGGTGAGCAGTTAGTAGCCAGCAGTCCTGGATTGTGAGAGAGATGTACCAGATTGGAGAGGGTGCAGGCTGGGCTGAGGGACAAACCCCCGTGCATGAATTTCGTGCAATGGGATATATATATATATGAATCTAAGAACACACACACACACACACACACACACACACACACACATATCTATATGAGAGAGAGAGAGCTATTACATAGGTAATCAGAATAGAGCTCTATAAACAAAATGCCTTTATTAATGATGAAGTAGAATTCTATGAAACTTCCATTTTTTAGATCTATAATTTCTTCAATTGGCAGTGGATATAGTACAGCAATTCTTAGGGCACAGGTTTTCTGGAAACAGTTCCCAGATCTTGAGAATAAAAGCACCATAAAAATTCAGCCCTTTTTCCATTAATTAATGAATAATAATGTAGTGCATACTATTTGCCAGGTATGGGACAAAACATAAGGTAAAAATTGTCCTAGCTTACATGAAGCTTACTGTCTTGTATAATAGTTAGCAAACCCTTTCTTAATTCTGGATAGTAAAAATTTTGAGATTGGGACCATACAGTCTCTGTTGCAGCTATTCAACCCTGACATTTTATAGCACAAAACAGTCATAGACAATATGTAGACAAGTGAGTGTGGATGTGTTTCAGTAAGCTGCCCATGGGCATAAACAGCCAACTGGTGATCCATGCTCTGGTAGGTGAAAACGACAAGTAATCAGGCATCAGGGATACAGTTTCTCTTTGGAGAAGGAATTAAAGGTTCAAGAAGGCCTTTCAGAAGAAGACATGTTGGCAAATCAATAATCTAAATAAAGCTCCATCAAATCAAATGAATTCAAAATATGGGAGGCAGGAAATAAAGAATCAAAGAACATAAATTAGGAAGAGAAAACCCAGATGTAGATGTATAGGAGAGAGGATCAACAAATAAAATGGTTGTTTCTTGAGTACTTGGTGGGGTGGAGGACCCACTCTGTAAAGTCCCTCTTTTTCTAAGCACTTTGCTGTATATCTGAATCTAATACAGAATAATATTGAATGTAACCATAATTTAAATTAATAAGTACACAACAATAAAAGACCCCCCAGCTTCCTGGTAAAACTGATCCAGAAAAAAAGAAAGCAAATAACCAATACTGGAAACAAAGAGTACACATCACACAGAGATGGGTAAGAGAGAGGTCTATTACAAAACATCTTTAAGTCCTCATAAAGTTTCTCACTTGTTAAATCCTCAATTATTTTATGCCAAACATTCCCCTTTTATACATTACTTTAAAAAATATGTAACTCCACATGATTCATATTTGTCTTCTTAAGACTCCAATTGATCATTCACAATACCAATGAAATACTTAGGAATCAATTTAAGCAAGTACATGAAAGATCTGTACACTGAGAACTATAAGACTTTGATAAAATAAAGTTGAAGAAAACACAAGGAAATGGAAAGATATCCTGTGTTCATGGATTAGAAAAACTAATATTGTTAAAATGTCCATTATACATAAAGTCATCTATAGATTTTATACAATTCCTCTCAAAATTCTGAGGAAGAACAAAGCTGGAGGTATCACACCTCCTGATTTATAACTATACTACAAAGCTATAGTAATCAAAACTGTAATGATGTAATCTTCTCTCTCTCATATATATATATGAATCTAAGAACACACACACACTATTTTTATGGCGCTGAAATAAAAATAGACACATAGACTAGTAGAGCACAGTCAAGAACCCAGAACTAAATCTTTGCATATTTGACAAGGGAGTCAAGAATACTCAATAGGGAAAGGATAGTTTCCTCAACAAATGCAGCAGGGACACTGGATAACCACAGGAAAAAGAATAAAATTGGACCCCTATCTTACACCACTCACAAAAATTAACTCAAAATGGATTAAAGACTGCCTGACCAGAGTGGCTCAGTGGTTGAGTTTCAACCTATGAACCAGGAAGTCATGGTTCAATTCTGGCCAGGGAACATCCAGGTGGTGGGCTCGATCCCCAGTGAGGGGCATGTAAGAGGCAGCCGATCAATGATTCTCTCTTATCAAAGATGTTTCTATCTCTCTCTCCCTCTCCCTTCCTTTCTAAAATCAATAATAAAAAAAATGAGTGTCAAAAGCTCCACCTCCTAGGCAGCCATTGGCTCCTCACAGTTGACCCAGATTTGGTTCTGATTGGTCAGTTTCTATGCCAGTGAGTGTCAAAAGCTCCACCTCCTAGGCAGCCATTGGCTCCTCACAGTTGACCCAGATTTGGTTCTGATTGGTCAGTTTCTATGCCAGTGAGTGTCAAAAGCTCCACCTCCTAGGCAGCCATTGGCTCCTCACAGTTGACCCAGATTTGGTTCTGATTGGTCAGTTTCTATGCCAGTGAGTGTCAAAAGCTCCACCTCCTAGGCAGCCATTGGCTCCTCACAGTTGACCCAGATTTGGTTCTGATTGGTCAGTTTCTATGCCAGTGAGTGTCAAAAGCTCCACCTCCTAGGCAGCCATTGGCTCCTCACAGTTGACCCAGATTTGGTTCTGATTGGTCAGTTTCTATGCCAGTCAGCATCTCTAGGCCTATCAACGGGTCCTGACCAGAAAGGCGGGGCTGATCAGCAGCCCCAGTGGAGGCCTGGAGAGAAATGGAGGAGCGGCTGTTGGCCAGGCCAGGAGAGAGAGGCAAGTTCTGATCAATGGCTGCCACAGAGGCTATGGATCAGACCCTGCCTCTCTCTCTGAAGGCCTCTCTCTGGGCTTGATCCGCAGCCCCTTAGGCAGTCAGTGCTGGTTTGGGGCGCCCATGGCAACCCAGCACTGACTTCTGGTCTGGTCGATCCTTCAGTAGTTATGACCCTGGCTCTTTATTATATAGATATGCACACACATACACACACACTAGGGGCCCAGTGCACAAATTCGTGCATCTTGAACTGTGGGTCGCAAGGCTACGGTGGGCACTGGGGCGAGCCTCGGCCCATACTCTGCGCTCCCACCCAGCCCCTCCCACCCACTGACTGTATGGAGCGATTGGGGCCAGCGCCACCAGAAGGTGCAAGCGGCGGCTGCTGCCCCAATCACGCCTTAGGAGCAGGGGGAGGTGGAGAAGACCTGAGGGGTGATCGGGGCTGGCAGCTGCCACTCGCACCCGCTGACAGTGCCAAGCAATCGGGACCAGCGCTGGATGTTCACAGCGGATGCCAGCGGTGCTGGCACCAGCAGCAGGTGCAAGCACCGGGTGAGACCACGGCATGCGGGAGCAAAGAATTTTCAGTAACAACCAGAGGCTTGCCCTGATGACAGCGACTGGCCCCGCTCACCTGCTCCACCATCCCACCATGGCTGACACCCACCATGTTCCACACTCTGCTGCCTGCTGCCAATGCCTGCCATGTTCCATGCACAACCCCTGGTGGTTAGCGCACGTTATAGCGACCGGTTGTGCAGTTATTCCGCCATTAAGTCTATTTGCATATTAGGGTTTTATCTATATCTATATCTATATCCATATCCATATCTACACTAATAAAAGACAAACATGCAAATTGACTGTACCTTCACTATGCCTTAAGCCACACCCACCAGCCCATCAGAGTGGCTATATGCAAATTAACCCAACCAAGATGGCGGCTGGCAGCCACGGAGCTAGAGCAAGCAGGAGGCTTGGCTGCCCCAATGATGGAGGAAGCCAAGCTTCCCGCCTGCTGCGGCCAGCTCTGAGCTCCACTCAAAGCAACAACGTTTCAATTATAGAAGATAAATAAACCCCAGATACCTGCTTTCAGCCAGCCGTGGCCACAGAGCTGGAGCGAGCAGGAGGCTTGGGTTGCCCCTGGCGATGAGGAAGCCAATCCCTCCCGCCTGCCCTGGTCGGCTCTGAGCTCCACTCCAGGCTACAAAGTTTCAATTATAGAAGGTAAATAAATCCCAGCAGA